GCTACTATATTTAAAAGCTGTAAAGTCTTAAAAATATTGCAGCTTTAAATAAAACAAAAATAGTACAGCTAGCTTTTTTTTTAATTTAGTAAATGTAATTATGAAACACATTTGAACGGACCAAATTTGTTGCAATAACAGAAACGCATTGGTTTTAAATTACTATTTTTGGAAAACATTGCAATCTAGCAATTGCTAAAGGTAAAGCAATCCCATTAGAGTCACCAAGCAAATCTTTTACACCGAGGCAAAAAATAAAATCATGAATTTATCCATGATCATAAAAAAAAATTATATATTTTGCTTTGGCTATATCGATACAATATCAGAATGCACTCTTTTTTGCGGATATAATTGTGTGGGCTGATGAAAAGATTATATCTTTTATTTTCCGGATTTTTTAAAAAAATTTATCCTTTTTTTTCCAGTTGTTTGTTATTTTTTTATTATTATTTTTCTTTTCCTCCCTTTTTTCATATGTCTGTAATTTTCCTTTGTTTTATCTTCATTTTGAACTTATCTATTAACAAAAGGTACCTCAGGATTGAATCAAGTTAGCATGTCTTATATACCAGTGAATCGATGTTTAATATTCGTAGTGGTAGTTACGCCACAATNAACTGTCAAAAAATTTTATAATTAGTAAGGTACAAAAAAAATTATCTTCAATTAAATTAAAATCATTTTTCTTCCTTCTTAAATTAAAATCATTTAAAAGGTCAAAATACAAATTTTAAACAAGTTTCCGACTTAAAAAATTTCAAAAGAATCGTATTTTTAAATCTTCACTCGAGATTTATTCAGCGGATTATAATGAGAGTAATTTTTTTTTCCGTAGTATATTATTTTTATGAAAAGAAATTTTGCTAGCCTCGGCATTTTATTGCCTTATCATTACATATGTTTTACTATAAAATTTCACAGGTTAATTTTTTAAACAAACATTTAAAATAATAATAATTGTTGTAATATAAAAATAATTTGGAAAGAAAATTTTGATAACGAACTCACATAGTTAGATTCATTAACAAAATAAAATTTGCCTTCCTTTTTTTTTTTTTTTTTCGAAACAGGAAAAATATTTTGCTTTTAAAAAAAAAATCGAGAAAAGAAATAGAAAGGAAAATAGAAAAAGAAATAATTCCTCAATAAATATTAAACCTTTTATTAAAGTGCTGCCATCTGTCAGTCAAAACAAATTTTAATTTGTCTCTAAAGAAATTAATTATCAACTAATTACAAAATAAATACTCTTTCCTTTTCAAAAACAACATTATATATATTTTTTCCATCTTTCTAAAAACTTTTGGATAACAATAATTACAAACGAACTTACAAAATTTTTTTCCAGATTCAAATCAAAGCTAAAACATTTAATATATAAACGAAACATCATTTTAAACTTTATCAAAAAAAAAATCACTATTACAACAATTTTAATGCTTAGATATGAACAAAAATTGATTAGTTCAGATAATCTGAACTGTTCATGGATAAAATTGAAACTAAGCATATTTTAGAAAATCATTAATCAAAATTAAAGGTTTCCCTGGATACAAATTCTACTTTTCCTGTATCTCTAGTTGAACTTTTAAAAATACAAATGCCAGATTTCTATTAAGTCACCAATTAATATTTTTATTATTTTATTCGCTGAAATATATTTGATGGAACTCAACAACTGCTTTAAAATTGTATATTTTTCAAAACTTTTTCACCTCTTCTACTTATCTTTTAAAAAAGAAAGGATTTAAAAATACTAGCATTTTCAAAAATTCAAATTTGGTAACTAATCGCCAAAGAATTTATGTCAGTAAATAAAAATAATTTTGAAACAGATATATATTTATCAAAATCTAATTCTCTTCTTTCATTTCAATTTTATGTAAATGAATGCAGACATTTTTGGATGGTAAAAAAAAACTATTATTTCCAAAAAAGTATTCTTAAGTTTTTCTTAAATATTAAGAATATTTAAATTTTAATCACCCAAACTTCATGGGTAATTTGTTTGAAAATCATCGATCTTCATGAAATATTTTGCTAGAGATCAAGATAAAAATGAAAGCAATAAATTTAAAGCTTTATTGTCCTTATTGATCAAATATGTGTTAACTTTGGCTGGTTCCTTGGGGCTATTGCTCTCTTCACCCTCTCTGCAAACAATTAACTTGGCATTACTGCATTAAGCTAAAAAAAACACAAATATCTCCAGGGGACTAATTTATCATAAATGAGAAATAATCGTTTTCCTTCTCTTTCAATCAATATTTATTGATTGAAAAAGTGGTCTATTTTATATGATATATATTTGATTTGGCAATGCTGATTGAAATTTGGAACAATATTAATGATATGCTTGAAAAGAATTTTTTGATATAAAGGTAATTCAATTTATGAACTGTGCTAAAAAAACTGTATCATATTTTAGCCTATATATTGATTATATAAATAGATAAGGCTGTTTTTTTAAGGCTCTTTCATCGTATGAAATAATGCTTTTTTGCGAATAATATGCAATTTTCATAACTGTTGTGAGTTTGTTACAGTTATTCATTACTGTTAGATCAAGTTTAGTGCATCTTTAGCCAATGTTCTCTGTGATAATACTAAAAATGTTGCATAACATCAACATAAAGAAATATTTCAATGGTGCATTCCCCAAGCTCATAAAAAATTTACAAAATTGGGAATTATTTATTGATTTTGATAGTTTTTATCTTCATTATCATCATTTCTTACCAAACTAGCCATTTTTAAAAGCATTTGAAAACTTTTAAAATATTTAAGTTATTTGTCCATTCTAAAGTCCAGAAAATTCTTTACAGCTAAATGGTATAGTTTAAAATTGAAGCTTTCCCTTAAGTATAAGGCACCTAAACCATGGCTGTTTTATTTTTCGTGGTGAAAGAGCTTTGATAAATGCTGTTAATTGTGCGAATCCTTGTTCAAAAGCTTTCCAATAACAATCTTCACATTTTACTGAAGAACTTTAAATGTGTCATATATCAGTAGAGTGATTCCACTTACACATCAAATATGCCAAAAATCATTGAGAAAAAGAGAAAAATAATGATGTGTCCCAGGGGATGTATAATTCTCCAGGACTGAAACAAAAATAATAGCAAGCCAGTAGATGTACGCAAACACAATTTTTAAACTTTAAATGCATATAAAAAATTTTTAGTTTTGTTTACTATTAATAGATAAAGAATAAAATTCGAATAATTTTGAGTATCAAATTATATCGTTGCTTTTACTTGATGCAGGTGATTGACAAATCCTAATTAAAAACCTTGATTGTTCAAATATTTCTCTTCTAGTTTTTAAATTCTTAGCTTGTCTATCAATAGATAGAAGAATTATGAATATGCATATAGAAATGGATAAGGAGGTAGAGAAGTCATATTTGAAATAAGGTTCCGCTTTTAGTAAAAAAGTACCCACAAACTTGGAAATCCTGGGCCACGAGACCCGTAATTTCGGAAGTACAGTAGAAATGCTGTCAGTATATTAATAAATAGTGTAAGACAAAAAGTATTAAAAACAATCTGTGATAAATGGACTAAAACATAAACAGTCAGAACATAAAGCGATGCATTGTAGCTTTTAATCTTTGTCCAAATGGATATAGAATTTTTCTACAATCATTTTCTACATTCTACAAATCAAAGTAAGTAAAAAGGAAAACATAAATCATGTTACGTAAGACCATCTGAGCTCAGGTATGGCTGAGAAACTTAAGCTATGAGAAAATCAAGAGAATACACTAGCCATCCTCATGAGAAAAGTTTTAAGAAGAATTCTGGGTGCAGTGGTAACAATGATATATGGAGAAATGGATATAATAATGAGTCATACAGGTTGAAGAGATAGGCAGATATTGTCCATTATATGAGTAAACCACATCAAGCTCCATCTGTCCAATGAGACTATTCTCTTTAACACCCACTCTTTCATTTTAAATTGATAGGAACACGAACTAGAGGCAGGCCAAGACTAAGATGGATTTCTTTATAAATGGAGATTTCAAAGAACTTAAAGTGAAAAACTGGAAAGAAAGAGAGCAGAATGCAAAAAAAACCTGAAAGACTTGGCCCTTTAAGGGCTGCCGAGTCCATAAAGAAGTGACAAAAAAATTTTAAAATATTTACATTAGGTCCCTTATGGTCTAACTGATAGGAACACAGCATGCCCCTCTGGTTGAAATTAGGGATTATGAATTCGACCATGGAATTTTAACAACTGATCTCGCAAGTATGTGGAACAAGAAGATATCAGATTTAATAGCTTCATAAATTTTATGAAAACTGACAAAAACTTTCTTAGTAATGCTTAAAGTTAAAGTAGCATAAATAATAAAATATACAAGATAAACACCACTTGGAATCTAAAATATCTTTATTATGTAACATTAAAAAATTGTTNAGTTTTGAAGTTTATATATTTTCATGGCAAACTTCAGTTTTTGACATTTTTGACGGGTTTTTGACGGTTTAAACCAGTATTATACCCATGTCATGTCAAAAACCACTTTTTGACGTCAAGAACCCAACCCTGATTATGGAGCTTAAAAAATTATGAGCCTTTTTCTATATTATATTTTCTTTTGATAAGTTAAAGTAAATTGTATAAAAAATATCAAATATCTATTGATACGTGTAATTATTATGTGTACAATGGTTACACCTATCGAATTTTTACCTTTTACCAAAGTTCAAGGTTTTGGACAGTTTTACCCAGTTTAGGACAGTTTTACCCAGTTTAGGACAGTTTTACCCAGTTTAAGGCAGTTTTATCCAGTTTAGGACAGTAAAACCCATGTGTCCTGTCCAAAACCAGTTTAGGACGTCTAAAACCCCAACCCTGTCTACAATATAGAAAAGCCTTTTTTTTCCTTTAAATTTTCTGTGTAATCCTACAAACATGTTACATTTATGATAAGTATTTTTTTTAACACTTTCATTTATTTATTTCCTCTTCTGAAATAAAAGCACATATTTATCTGGGAAAATTAATTTTAATATTAAAGAAGGAAATAAAATATTAAACATTTAATTGCAAAACAGATTAGTCATGCACAGTTCAAACAAAATTTTTTAATTAAGCATAATGACATTTATAAACAAAATTTAAGGAACAGGTAATTTGATTTAAAAATTTTCTCTGGATAGCAAAATTATTGACCTCAGTTAAATTTATTTACATTGTTTTACTTCAATGTAATATTTATAATTTTAATGTCATCATATGGTTTATCTGTTTTTGGATTAGTTTTTGCAGTACTGATGTTTTGACATACTTCCATTCCTTTGGTGACACGTCCAAAAACAGTATGTTTATTGTCTAACCATGGGGTTGGAATGACAGAAACGAAAAATTGTGACCCATTGGTGTTGGGACCAGCATTAGCCATACTAAGAGTATATGGTCGATCATGCTTCAAAGTAGGATGAAATTCATCTTCAAATTCTCCACCCCAAATAGATTCTCCCCCAGTTCCTGTACCAGTAGGATCACCTGTTTGTATCATAAATGCTTTAATCACTCTGTGAAATATATGTCCATTGTAATAATTGTTTTTACTGTGAACACAAAAGTTTTCAACAGTTTTAGGACATTCTTTAGGAAAAAGTTTACAGTGCATATCTCCTAGAGTAGTATGAATTATACAATTATGATATAACACCTGTTGACTTGAGGATTCTGTAGCAGCAATTATGTCTTCCTTGGAAGGTTTTTCATTAAATATATCCCTCTCAGCGTCAACACTTTTTGTATCATCTGGCTCCCTAGACGTGAATAAATAAAATCTATTTTTCTTAAAGGCAGTACAAAATAATGTAGGATCACTTGAAATATTTTGTAATGCTGGATTTTCCGAAGCTGTCATCTCAACAGTAATGGCAGCTTTAGACTTATTAGGAATGCCCTGATAAAGAGCTAGCTTTAAAGGTCTTATATTTTCATTCTTACCAATAAGCCTAACACAACGATTTGTTTCAATGTTTATAACTTTTATTCCTATCATAGTGGGATAAAGAATGAAATGTCCACTTTCGTCATACAAAATACCAGCAGAATCAAATGCTTCTGTTTTTTCAACGTCTCTCTCGATTGCCATACGACGTCCAAATTCCATATTTGGTAACAGCTGCCTGGTTTGTTGCAACTCAGATAATTGTTGCAAGCTTTCATCGTAAACTCTTATCATTTTTCCAGTCAGAAAACGAAACAGCCTTATCTTACGGTCCGCACAGAGGAGTGCAAATTGGTCACCTTTGGGGGAAAAAGTAAGATCAATAGAATAAGTTTTATTTTTTACAAGCTCGTATAAATCAGTATCTAATTTAGAGTCAAAATTAACACATTTAGGAAACTTGAAATCTCTTTTCATACCACACCAATACTCAATCATACCATTACGGTCACAAGACACCACAACTTCATACGTAGGGTTGTATTTAATCGTTGTAATGGCAGTAGCATGCAACCTATCAATGACATGCAGAGGATCATTAATCTCGCGACCATCATAGATATTTATTACTTTAGATCCTTGAACGGATACAGCAACAGCTGCAATTGCATGACCAGCACTGTGTACCCACTCACAGTATCCAGGTACATAGTTGAGCTTAATCATATTAATCATATCAAAGTTTACAACGTCAAACACTTTCAATGATTTATCATTTGAAATGGAACATAAAAGTGATCCTGAAGAATTTACACTGATACATTGGATATTACCGAGGTGGGCACGAAAGTGCTTTACAAACACGATTCCATCTTCATTTTTCTTCCAAAATTTCATATGACCATCGACACTAGCCGTTATTACAAAATCAGTTTTAGTCACTGCAATGTGAGAAATGACATCTCGATGCATATAACTTTTCTCGTATGATTCCTTATCAGGAATGTTTTTCAAATACATCTGCTCGAACTGTAATGTTTTGCGCTTTTTAACAGGAGCAGCTTCAGATAGCGAAGGTCCAATGCATTCATCATTGCTGCTATCTTCTGATTCAATTTGATCGAGATTTCTCTTCTCAGACATCGGTCTACTACTTTTGTATAAATATGATAGAACAAAAAAGTATTGTCTTACAATCAAATTAAGAGCTTTTTATTTCAAAAATATATTTGAAATTTTCGCACTCGCCAGTTTTCAAAATAAACAAATATTGAAAAGAGTTACGGTTACATTAGTTTTTGATAAAACTCTCTATTAAAAAAAAAAATTTAAGTGGAATGCTTCTACTGTTGTTACTAAAATATGCAAACGTCCCTATTCACCAATCAAAAGAGGTTAAATTGGTTCGGCGATTTCTTCACTAAATCAATTTAATCACCTTTTCCAATGGCTCTCAGTTAATTTTAAATATACTTAGATTTTCTGGTTCAGCTTTTGTCTGCCATTTATTTATATTTCTTTGATAATAAAGCATTTATTACTGATTATTTTGATGTAACGGTAGATTGTGTGGCGCTGTTGTCATTTTTTTCCTTCCACGGAATCGTTCCCTTGTTGAAAATATACATGGAGACTGCTCAGCTGGTTTAGCTATAGCATCCGGGTTCTGAGCACCTTCCGACATTTCTATTTTTGCATCATTAAATAGTTGTGTGCGTAATTTGTTGTTTGTAATTGAATGATGCGTCCTATTGTGTAATATTGTATAGAGTCTTATTGTACAGTGTATATACATTTATATTGTGTAAATATATTGTTACGTCACTTTTTTCTGTGTATCTGTAAATAGAGTTTTTAAACGACCTCTTCATTACGTGCGAAAGATGGCCATGGTTCGTCAGTTGACAGAAGGTGAAATTATAAACGGTGGCACTCCTGATGGTAAAAAATAACATTTATATAATTTTAAAAAATTAAATTTTCTAATGTTTAACTTATGTTAAATATTGTAGGCATCAGTCTGTTTGTTAACCATAGTAGAATGTCATAATGTTACGTGTTGTTAGTGTTGTTTTGACATTTATCCATTTTACAAAGGCATAGGGTATTGAATATCTCAAATATAAAATAAATTTTATTATTTCATTTCCTACTAATGATTTTTTCTCATTTTTTAACAAGATTTAATTGAACTCTTTTACTGACGAATAGGCCTAATATACTAAATTCTATTGTGCCAATTGTTTTCATTTTGTTGACAGTTGATGTGTTCGCTATAATATTCATTCAGTCCTTAAAATCACAGTGGTGTTTTTGGAAAATTAGATAGATATTTGCCTCAATTTAATATCGATATACACTTAACCATTTTGAGAACCCTTTGTTGGTGTAGAATGTCCAATATTAGTTAATATATTGGTTGTCAAGTTTTTGTAAAATATCAGTCTTTTTNTTTGCCATCAGTCTTTTTTTTTTTTTTAACTAAATAAAATAAACTTTATTAGCATAGCTTTAAAATGATTTTTTTTTTATTCCCATAAGAATAGAAATTATTACCAGTTTTTTCAAGTTTACTTGATAGATATTTAATCAATTTAAGTAGTATATTTTAAATCTATTACTTTGTACTATATAATGCTGAATATTGTTATTTTAGGATCTAAGATTGCTTCTAAGAATTATGTAGGAAATTACAGATTGCTTGTATAAGTTTTTTTTTAGGAAAATTTTTAATTTAAAGAACTTAATACAAAAAGTTGAAAAACAGCTAAAATATTAACAATTATATTAACCTCCAGAAATAAATTTTTACTTGTTAAAATATACATTTTCTTATTTGGAATTTATCTTCTTAACATTATTGAGAAAATGAAGAGTATTCTAGCAATTCTCTTAACTCAATTTATTTAGAAGGGCCATTCTCCACTGTAAACACTCCAAACCTCAATTTTTATCCTACTTGTACATATTTTTAATTTATTCAATAATAAAGTACATAGGTTAAATCTTAAAAAATGAGATACAATAATAGTTATATTTAAATTTTTATTATGGAATCAATTCTTAAAATTTAGCATTGTACTTTTTAAGTTTTCTTGTTATAATCAACATATTTACNATGTCCCGTGCATAACATTAGGTATGTCCCGTGCATAACACAAATAAAATAAATTTAGAATTTTATCAAATAATGTATTTGGAAAACATCCAGCATAATTTAATAGAAGTAATATTTATCAGCTAAGAAAAAAATATAATGACAATATACAAGTTTTAAATTCACAGAGTTTATGAAAAATAGAAGTCAGGGTAGAAATAAATCTTTTTTCTGAGTCCCGTGCATAACGACTATATTAAATCCCTTTTCAAGTATTTAAACTTTAATTTTTTATTTGTTTTCTATGCAGTCTTTAAGATACAGACTTGTTTTGAATTGAATTGTAAAAAAAAATTAATTACCCCATTATTTTACTATTTTTATAAACTTCAAAGGCCTGCAAATGTCCCGTGCATAACAGGAGAATGGCCCAGAAGTGTTTATTATAAACTAAATTATATTGTTTTTATATAAGTTATTTATATATAATATAGAACTTTTACTTCACAGTATTCTATTTTGAAGTTTTATTTATATTTGATTAGGACATGCCAAGACAAGTTTTAACCTGCTTTTATTTTGTTGTCTAAAATTGCCCAAACATATTTATACGAAAAATATACTATGATTCTATGGTATATTAAATAAGTCAAAGTTCTAAGATAAGAGTATTCAATGAAATTTAAAAGCTTGATGCGTTAGACATTGTATAGACTACCTAGAGCCAAGAATCAAATAGAAATTTAAAGTATAAAATTGTTTTGTTATCAGTGAATAAATCATTTATTATGTTTAAATACTTATTCGACCAGAAAAATAGTGCCTTTCTTATGAGTTTTTCTTAAAATTGGGTTTGGTAATAAAAATGAAAAAAATGTCTCTGTAAAAACGTGAAACTTACCATAATTGCAATTTATATTATCTAATATGTTTCAATTTTATACTGTAATTTTACTGGTTTTGCTTTTAAATCTTTTAGCTTTCTACCAAATAACCAGGGTGCATAGTTCTTTAAAAAATTGCTTAAAGGTGTAGCTTTTTAAAAAATTGCTGAAGTGCTTTCAAAAGGAAATTATGTTTTTTTGAAAGCTCATAAAGGTCTTTTTTTTTATTTCGGGGTTTGTAAAAAGTGCTTAATTTTCTATCTTTTAAAAAGGTATTTTTTTCTTTGCCGTGTCGATTCTCATTCTAAATTTCAAGAAATGCATGATTTTCACAATTTTCTCTGCAATATTTATCAGAAACTATTTATTTTATCATGTTTATGCAAAGTTTTTGAAAATGTTTTTACATTTTATTGATTTTATGTTTATAAATTAAGAACTTTAAACGATAGATAAAAATAATTTTTATTGCTGTACAGATCCTAATTATGATTATTTTTGGAAAGTAATTAAAAATATTTTTTAAGTGCTTGAAAAAGTACTTGAAAAGTGCTTAGTTTTTGTTAAAAATTTTGGCTGCGCACCATGATAACACTTAATTTTCATTGTAAGATATTTATATTTTTTGTTCGCTGTAATAACTTAAGTTATTAAGATTTTAAGTCTTTTTTTTTTGTTGAAAATCTGTTCAAGTAATCTTCTCTGCCTGGATTACAATACAAAACGTACACATTACCTACTGACTGTAATCTTATATTTATAGTTTTATTAAAACATTTATAGTTTTATTAAAACCTAAATAATGACACTCTATGTTTTGTGATATATTTTATATTATAATTAAAATAAAATTTTATTTCAGATGATAGTATGTCCGAGCATCTGGAGAATTTTAATAATAGTAGGCCTCCATCTCGCAGCTCATCTGGAAGTAAACGAAGCTCGCCTGCAGTAATGCCTTCGTTACAATACTCCAAGGTATTATGTGTATAAAAAATTTTTATAAATTAGAAACATTTGTACATGTATGTAAAGATAATTTTATAATTTCAAACCTGGTCAATCTTTTGTAGGAGACACACTAAACATGAATTAATTTTTTAATTTTCTTTCAAATTTTATAGGAATTTAATTTTCATTAGTACTTTTAGATAATGTAAGAAAATTTTTTCATATTTTTTAAACAGATAATATTTTTTATAATTCTGGCAGCTTTTTTACTTCAAGTACTGAATAAAAAGTAAATTTTCTGTTTTTAAACGCTATTGAAACACTAGAAAAGTTTTGAAATTGCTTGTAAATGAGAAATAGACATGGAACAATTGCTAATATTTTTATTTAGAAGTGCACGACCTTTTTTGAATGAAGTGTCGCATGCCCTAGTATTTAGATAGACATGTTGACAGCTGTTATACGAATTTTGATGTAATAATCAGTATTCTAGACACAAAAATTTTATCAGTTAACTTTAATATATTGTATAAAATTAAGCTCTTTTAAGCATTGTATTTCAGTAAAAATTAAGATACAAAACTGATTAATTTTTTTTTTAAATATTTATTACTTTATAATAATTATTAAAAAATCTCAAATTAATCAAAATAAATAAAAACATTGGTAAACAATAATGAGTAAAAAGCCCATTATTTTTACCAATGTTTTTATAAACATATTACATATTACAAAAGCCCATTTTAACAAATTCTAGCAAAAACTTTTCTACTTTTAAAATGAAAATTAAGGGGAAAATATTCTATACATTAGAATGTAAATTATAGAAAAACATTATAGAATTAAATAAGATTCACAATTTAATAGGGAATATATTTCATCCTTAAGTCATTTATATATTAAGTAAATTATAAGAGGTTTTAAAAATCTTAATTATCCTTTCTAATCTCAATTAGCCTTTTTTATTGGTCATTACAGTTACAAAATTTATTTTTAGTCCAGTTTATTATACGTTTACAAAAGATTTGTACCCTAACAAATAATAAGAATTTTGTCCTATAGTGGCACTATTTTTAAAACTCTTTTTCAAGGTAAAAAAAATACAATTATACCACAATCAAGTTTGCTAATCATAATATTGTATTAAATATAAAAAAATTTTACTTTTGTGAAAAATTGTTGCAATTGTATCTAGAGAAGTGTTTCTTTTGGAGAAAATGTATCACATGCATGATCTTTTTTTGAGGGAAGGGGGCACTATCAGACTTGTATGCAGCTTTTATCTTCTCACTAAAAATAGCTTAAAAACTGCTGAATTTGAAAAGTAAAATGTTTTTTTTTTTTTTTTTTTAAGTTTATTTCATTAAATTCTGAAGAAAAAAAATGCGGAAATTAGATATAAAATTACAAATTTAGAAGTGCCAAATCAACAAAAAGTTTTTTTCGAAAAAGAAAGAATTGAAGAAAAAGAATTCTTATAGTACAAAAATAATACAATTGTACTTTGTTAACATGCTTTAAACTTCGTTAAAAGAATTTATCAGTATTATATTCTTGTTACAACAATAAATTGACACTGACAAATTTTACTTCACTTTTAAATTTCCTTTCAATGACCTCTAAAAGAGGTTATGCCAGGGTTTTTTTTTTTTTTTTTTTTTTTCAAACTTGCTGGCCTGGGGNTTTTTTTTTCTTTCAAACTTGCTGGCCTGGGGGACCTCAATTAGAAACGCCAGTTAAATGGCGGGCCGTAACTTAATCAAAATTTTATATAGGACTCTTTTATGGTTGAAGGAACATTAAATATTACTGTCAGATTTTTATCAAGTTGTACGAAACAAAAATATTGATTTACAAATTAAAATAAGTAGATTTTTACAAATACTATTGGGCTGCGCCATCTTATATGGTTTGCTTCGCAAACCAAACTCCCTTCGCTCGCTACTAACTTAGGTGCATTGCAAATGCACAAAATTCTAAGAATTCAAATCCATATAACAACTTTTTTTTTTAAAAGAAATTACATCTTTTTAGTAAATACTAAATCATTAAAATAAATTTGAATTCAAATAAATGACATGTAATTCGTTAAACCTATTAGAAATGTGCTATAGTATAAAATCTTAAGATAAAATTTCTAAAACTGATATCTCTTTAAAAAGGTTAAAATTTTGGCTATAATTAAGTCTATTAAAAATTTAAATAAGTGAATTGCAATGGAAAAACCTGCATAAACAAATAAATTCTAGTAAAACAACTAAATTCGTGAAAAAAAGCGCTTTCGACAAAATACTAAAATAGAGATCTATCGACAAAGACTACTCACTTCTGCCTAGCTTATGTTTTCTCTGGTTATTTCAGTTTCCGTTTTTAAAAGCGCTATATGTTGTGCCATCTCAGCTAGATTTGGCATGACATTTTTAGCGGCAATCATTGGTCGATTTTCTAGCGTTGCCATTCGGAGAGTTGTAATGAGGCTTTTTTTTGTCGCCGTGTAAGAGAAATATATATATAGATTTAATTGCATATTAAAAAATTCTGGCTACAATAAGTTTAATGTGCACCTATGTATGAAACAATTAATACGCAACAGATATCTAATTGTTAAAATATAAAACTTTAAAAAGGTTGGTATTAAAACTTGCATAGTAACACACAAAATGTTCAATGAGGAAATTGAGGTTTGTCTGCTGTAACCACCAGATAATAGATATTTACAGATGTAAATAATTTCATCCAAAATGAGTGGTTTCAAAATTTAAATTGGAGAACTTCTTCGAGAAAATTTCTGATACGCACATGCTAAATTATGTTCATTAAATACAAAAAAAAATAATAATAAATAAATAAAAAAGAGCAATATACACGATATTTTTGTATTTGAATAAATATTTTCTTGGGTGCAAAACCTGAGAAATAAATTCTTTTGCTCCATTGGTATGTTAAATTACACAGAAATGAAGATATTAGGTTTTTTTAAATGACAAAAGTATTTTAAACCCATATAAAAATTTTACAAAAATTATCCGCAAAAAATGACAACTAATATATTTTAGTTTGTGGGCCAGAAGAAAAGGCCGCCAGTTGGTAACCACTGGGTTATACACTGTAACTTGGTTAGAGAACATGTTTTTAAGAAAAGAAATATGAATAAATTTTTTCAACATGTGTCTTTTAATATTCTGTTTATTTTTAGGATGATTTGATAAAATTCTCAACTTTACCATTGTCTCAAAGTCGGCCTGCTTGCTTAGACCCTGCTTATAACAAGTAAGTAGTTTTCAGTCATTAAGCTTCAGCTTTTATGTAAAGTAGGATGTAGTTTTGTAAATTTGTGATGATGGATAAGAGATAAAGAAGGATAAAAAGATAAAGAAGGGTGACAGGATAATAATTGATTCTTTAGTGCCAAAGTAGCTTAATATTTTTAGTTATGGAAAAGACAAAAAATTTATGTGCTTTAAAAAGTGGTGGAAAGGGTTGTAATTTTTATTGGTAAAATTAAAAGTTGAAATGTTTTCATGATTATACTGTAACTTAATTACTTTTAGCTTAAATGATAAAGTTATGTGTTTTCCCATGAATCAAAGCTACATATTTTTATTTTTCAGCTCAACTGGAAAATGGGATCCTGAACGTTGGTTTATGAACCATAGAAGTGACCGCATTCTTCCATTAGAAGAACCCAGGGTGAAACGTGAGCGACAAGATGACATGTTGGGCCATAAACGAAAGTCATCAGATCCTAAGGAACGTATCAAGGAGGAAAAGGATGACATTGTTCTAAGTCCTCAGCGTAGAAGTTTTGGAACGGGCTGTCATGTGATCCCTCAATCTTCACTGGCAAGGAGACCTGGTAGCCCTACGGATGGTCGAGACTCTGAAAGGTACTTTTCTTTTGCAAAGTGAAATTTGAGTTACTTGTTGATTAAAGCAAGGTTGGCAAGTTTCTTATATTGTGAAAATAATTGTCCCAGAAGAAATTTATTTCTTCAAAGAGGATAGAAATGACTGCAATTCTTTTTATTTTGTAATCCATGTTAGTGATTTGTTTTTTAAATTCATGTTTTACGTGATTTATTGAAGATTCTAACTTTGAATTATGAACTTTGGTATGATATTTCAATAATATGCATTGTATCTGGGTTTTTTTTCAACTCTAGATAATTAAATTTAGTTATTGATGTTTAAATAATACACATCATTTATAATTCTTCAGGGTTCCTACACGGTCAGGAAAACCTGCAGAACCTGCAAAAGTCAGGATATTCTAAAATTAAGCTAAAATGTCAGGATTTTTCTTACATATTCATCAAGTCAGGAAAAAGTCAGGATTTTTCTTTCATATTCATAAAGTTAGGAAAATTAAAAAATAACTATAGTTCATTCAAAGACTTGACAAGCAAAAATAAAATTTCAAGGAAAANATGCGTTACTCTCACCTTGTTCAGCTCAAGCTTTTTCAGTTACAACGTATTTCGTTGCTTAAAATTGAAATTTTATTTCTATTTCAATACCACTGGGAAAAATCGTAGTTGAAGGGATTAAAAGTTGGCAGGTATGTAATATGCATTGTATCTGGGGTTTTTTTCAACTCTAGATAATTAAATTTAGTTATTGATGTTTAAATAATACACATCATTTATAATTCTTGTTTAAAAGTTCAAATTCATATTTTTGTATGTTAATTTACTTTGTTTCTAAGTTTTAGGGACTCGTCAAGAAGAATAGGTAGTGGTCGAATTATGAGAGATCAAAGAGACTGGGAACGTGATCGAGAGTATGGCTATGGCAACAATAGGAATGAGCGTAGAGATAGATTTGATCAGGATGATAATGAGAAGGACATGCGTCGCTATTCTAATCGTTACAATCGTAATGATAGAAGATCACGTAGTGGTAAATATTATGCCCATAATAAGTTATACTTTATAATAACTATTAAAATTCTTTTTTTTTTTTTTTTTTTNTTTTTTTTTTTTTTTTTTTTTTTTTTCAAAAAAATTACAAATGAAAATATGCATTAAGAATTAATTTAACCTTTGTTTTTTAAGGACGAGATCGCATTGATGAAATAGAACCTGAATGGTTTAGTAGTGGTCCTACTAGTCAATCTGAAACTATAGAGCTTGTTGGATTTGAAGATCCTCACAATGATGATGAAAACAAAAAACCCTCAAAAAAGTCAAAACGCAAACAAAATTCACGACGTTCAAGCCTAAAATCTGAGGAAGGCGAAAAGCAAGACACGAGTACCACTCCACCAGAAGATAATAGTTCAACGAAAAAAGGTTTATATTTTTTTATTAAATTGTTGAGAGAAAAATTTTTCTTCCTGACATCTGAATTTATGTACTCATAGATTATAAAAAAGAAAGAAAAAGCTCTATCTTATTTTAAGTGTGTATATCTATAGTTGTGTCTGTTTAGCTACCAACTTTCAGAATGTTACATCAATTTTTTTTTTATAAATGGAACAAAATATATATATACAAAAGGATTGCTTTTTTGAAGTGAACTACAATGGGATTTCTTTTACTGTTATTCAGAAAAAAAAAACAAAAATTAAACAACTTGCATTGTATTGTTTGTCAACTTGTATTGCAGCTGCATTGTATTGATTCAATGCTCGAACAGTTCAATTAAATTTTCTACTGATCATGGGAGAAATGTTTAAGTCTGGTTACTGGGGTGAGACAGTGTACCTCAATTGTATTGAAATTGTCTGTTTTCTAGCAAACAAATTCTGAATTACACTTTACTAGTCAAAAAGAAGAAACTACCATATTGCCGTGTTTATTAATTTATAGATTCTTTTTGAATAAATTTTTCCTGTGTTTGATCTCTAGTGTATTTTTGTTTTTAAACTAGCCTTTTTTATTGATCATTATAGTTACAAAATTTATTTTTAGTCCAGTTTATTATATGTTTACGAAAAATTTGTACCCTAACAAATAAGATTTTGTCATATAGTAGCACTATTCTGTTAAATTTCAATAACAGTGCTTTTAGTTTAAATCTAGGAAATACAGTTTTGTCCCCAGTTTTGATGTGTTTCTATGCTGGACCTACGAAAGCTGCAGTTCAATGTTGGAAAAAAATAACTTCATTTAAGGTAAAGGCTAAATAAAGGTTTTGCGAGTCTTGGGACAAAATTTATTGCAGCCCCTTTCTCAAAGCACAGAATGCCTTATATTCTAATTTTGTAGAATTTTTGAAGTCCATTTATATAAATTTGTAGTTTTCATATAGATATAAAGAAATTATCTACAATTTTCTATTTTAAAAAAGAAACTAACTAATCAACGTTATCATTTTTGTTAAAAATTCTGGTCAGGCCCTCAACAGTCCAGGGACAATTGTCCCTCTTTCTCCCTCCCCCTTGAGTACGGTCTTGGCTTTACATGCATAATTTTCTTTAATTAGCATACAAAATAGAAATATCTGCTACTTTTTCACTGAAATTCCAGTGTTTCTAAATTTCTTACAGAGTTAATGTGTGTACCTGATTTTACCCCACTAGTGGGGTATGACAGGTAATATTTCTTGGTCATTTTTTGAAAACAAATCATTTATTAAAAGAAGTTGTACATTACGTACAGTAATGTACAACTTTTAATTTAAAATATTTTCATAGTTTTTTTTCTTTCAGCGGTTGACTAATACACTAGGATATTCAGTAAATTTGTGTCAGATTATGTAACAACAACAAATTGCTTAATCTATTTCTTTGAATAATATTGTCTAATTTTATAAGTATTTTGAAATTGAAACCATTATTTTATTCACTATAAATGTCTAAATTATATATTGTTGGAATTGGAATTATAATTTACTAAATTATTTGGATTATTTTCTAAATAATTAAATTCAGCTCAACTATATTTCTACTTTGTTGTTGAATAAAGTCTTATTTTATTTGATTTCATATTCCAGTTAATATTTTGTATTTCCGTCACGCTTTATTTTCTTAATTAAGAATAGGGATATATTTTTCTTTGTATTTCTTTCATTTTCTGTTCACTGATATGCATGTGCAATGAATTTTCCCCATACCCTCAGAAATCAATGAGAAAACAAAATCAGCCATGCCATTCCTTAATGTTTGATTGGCTGCTGCTTATCAGAAAAACTATTCTTTCAGACACACAGAAGAAAATAAAACATTTCTCTTCCCTTCCCTCTCTCAACCTACAGAACTTCAAGAAAACCAAACAAAACTTTTCTGGATTATGGAACTTAAAATTTATTTGGATATCTAAAAACTGCTAATATCTTAATTATTAATTTCAAATTAAGAAATAAAAGTTACTTAAAATTTAAGAAAAAAATTGCAAAAATAACAATGCAGTATGTCTCTTGATTCAGTGTCTGTGATCTGTTGCTTGGTAGGATAATTGGATCGTGATTTCCCAATTGTTCCTTTTAATGTCATTAACAATGCTTCTTTTACATTCAAACCCTTACCTATTTAATTTTTTAATTTAGCTGAAGAAGAGTTGAAAAAGCCTATTGAAGAGGTAAATGAAGAAAAAGTAGTTGATGAAGAACCTAAGGACAATAAACCTATTTCAGCTGGGTTTGAGATTGATGACTTATTTAAAATTGATTGGATGCCCCCTGGATTTATTCCAGTAAGTTCACAATAGGTTAATACATTACTTGTTTTTAAGATTTTTTTCGCCTCTTATTTGTTTCTTGACTAACTATGATTTTTCTATGATTTTGTATTTCACCATTTGTATAATCCAACTACTATTAGATTGTTATGTTTAATTTAAATATTTGTTGCTTGTTTTTAAACGTCAAAATTTTTTTATTTTAGAGTACTTCTCCTCCCCCAAATGAAAATAATGAAATGGGTTGTAGTCGTTTCAGTCAATGGTTTCGCAAAGAAAGCCCAGTGAATGAACTAACTGAATCTGGGAATAATAGTCGCAGATCTTCACTTCAAGAAGAACTAATAGCTAATGTTCTAAACAGTAAGGCAATTTTTTTTTAAATATTTACATTTAATTAATCTTTTCAAAGATCTTATTTGGCTAACTAATTTATTTAAATTTGAATCTATTTCTGGGGTGTTTCGTTTCCACAATTTAATCTAATTATTGTTTCAGATCAAATTATTATCTATCAAAAACCAAAAAAAATAATGAATTCTTTGCTACTATAAACCCACTTATTCCTATTAAAATTTTATTAATTCTGTGCTAACATTTATATTCTAATATCTCTTTAGGCATACAAAAAGCACCATATGCATCCAAATCAGGATGATATACCATGCATCCAAAAGCAACATATTTATGTATTTTCTTCTCTTTTTTTTTCATGAACACTTTTTGTTTTCTCTTCTATCCTGATTTCTATTTTATGTTTAACACTAACACTTCCCTTTAAAGGTATTGTAGAACCCCAGCTGAGTATACCATCTCCAACAGAAAATTCCTCGGATAACTTCTTTACTCCAATCAGTCCAGCACAATCACATTCTACTGGCTACACAATGTCACAAACTATGCAGTCTAATACTAATAAAGACATCATGGATATCTTCCAAACAATGAAATCAAATAACGAAACAACAACTTTGGCAAACATGAAAGGTAGTGTTTATGCACCTTCTATGCATGTCCTTATAACAAAAAGTTATACAGGAGTCTTTCCTTTTAGCATTTATGTTTATTCTAGACTTATTAGTGATGACATAAAAAACTGCTTTTTTTTTCTTCTAAAATTTAGTTTATATGTTGTCCAGTTGTATTTTTGGTATATTCTCCAAGTAGATTTCTTGCTCAGATCAGATAGCAAGATGTGTTAGTAACATTTTTATGCTTTTTTTTTATCCTTTTATTTTTATACCAAACTTTTTATATTTTGTTACTGTAAGTATCCAATATCCATTAAATTTCAAAGTATCGAAGCTCTTTTTTTTTCTAAATTTATAAAACTTACTATGTTTAGTATTCTTTGAACTGGTAATTATGTAACAATGTAAAAAAAAAATTAAGTTTTTTAATTTGTTTTTCGTATGAAATTTTTTTACCTATAACATCAGTTAATGAAAATATTAACTGCAGGCAAATAAATATATAATTATTAAATTGATGCATCAGATATTTCTGTTTTGGAAGTTGGCAGAGTAGTTTTAAAAGTTCTCCAAATCAGTGTTATGGTGATAAAGTTCCAGAGATGTTATAAAACATACTTTTTTTTAAAGTAAGCCATTATTGAAATTGATCAATATTTTTAAGCACAAAACTCTATGCTTATAAAAGTTAGTGTTTTAACATTCTATTCCTATTCAATGTAATTTCTTATCTGTTTAGTCTCAAAACATCTATAAAAAGTGAGGTACACATGGCAATATCTTAAAATTGCATCTTTGATATTTTTTAGAATCTGGAAAAACTGTGCAAGAGCTAGAAGCGGATTTGAAAAAACTAGTATTGGGTGATCAAAAACAAGAAGAAAAATCTGCATTTGACAAACTGGTAAAATTTTATTTTTTTTTACATATCACATTATTTCTTTATTAAAAAGAATCCATATTTGACTTGGTATTTTATAGTTGCAGCATATGTCCGATTCCAGAAGCTCTCCAACTGCATCTTTAAGTATTGGACCTCTAGATAAATCAAAAGCTGTTCAAGAACAAGATCTTCTTCAGGATATGTTAAGAACAAATCAACCGACTTCAAATATTTCCCCTGTTCAACAAGTATTCCAAATGTTTGAAGAAAAACAGCCTATGTTTAAACTGTCACCTGGTAAATATGTTACTAAAATGGCTTTATGCTGTAACAAATTTTTGACTAATTTAATTTTTAGTATTAATTGAAGGATTATTGTTGAGAATTACATTCTTTTAGCTTTGGCATTTCAAAACTAAAGAACTGTAAAAAATTCACTTAAAAATTATTTTATAACTATTTAGGTATTAAAAATATTAATATTTAATTAATTAAAAATAAAATATTTATTAATTAAAAATAAGATTAATTAAAAATTTTAATATTTAAAAATATTACTGCTGATTTAAAAAGTAATTGATCCTCATTACTTAATTTTAAATTAGTACTAATAAAGTACTAATTTAATTTATTTTTGAAAACTGCAAATTAAATTTTACATTTTTTATTATAGGAATGTCTTCCACTCAATTTTCTCAAGCTCCTAGGGAGCCCACAAATGATATATTTGCTCATTTGTTACAACAAAAGCAACACGAGCAGCATATGCAGCAAATCCATCAGCAGCAACAGTTACATCAACTTCAAAATCATATGCAACAACAAAATCCTGGATTAACTGTTGATATGATCACTAAACTTCTTGGCTCTACTCCTCAAGCTGTCAGTCCTTCATCCTCAAGCCTGCAAAGCTCTTCAACACTTAATAGAAATGATCCACAGATGATGAATTGTGAATATTCTATTTCTTTCCTTCTATTTTTTTAAGATTTGCTACTTCTTTACATTAAATTTTTTGAGGGAAGAATTTACAGATGTTTTGTCATTAGGCAAATATGTAAATTTTCTTTTTCTCAGTTATTTAAAAGTGAGGAAATTTACAATATTTGTTTAAAAGGTTGTTATAGTTTATGTTAATGTTGAATAATGCTATTGGATATTTTTTTAGAATCAAAACAAAAATTATTTGCCCTAATACTCATGCAAAATAATTTTCTGATTCCGAAATAATAAGATTTTGATACTAAGAAATAGAAATTTATGGGTATAGTTCAAATAAAAAATTAAACATTGTTCCAATGATTTAGTTTACATTTGTCTTCAAAATTTGAAATAATTACCTGATATTTTGTAATTTAAGAAAGAAAGGAAAATATCAGTTTCATTTAAAATCCTGATTCTCAAAAATAGTATGCTATGATGTTGTATTACATTTGCTCACCTGTGTTTTGTTTATTTTATTATAAATAAGACTTAGTAACTATTATAAACAAAAATTTGTCATGTTCTATTGGGAGACTGAAAATTGTACAAAAAAAGTAGTTGCATCTTATCTATCTGTCCATTTAATTTCAAAACTTTTAACTTTTGAGTAATATAATGAAAAAACAAAACTGAGCTAGTTAAACTTTCCTAAACTTAAATTTTACAGAGAAAATAGTGAGTGTATTTACTTATTAACTGTTTTTGAAGATTCTGTTATGAGTTCAATTTTGCATGATGAAGATTTGTGATTTCAAAATTTTCAGCGAATGTCTTTCTACAGTTATATTAATTCATTATCCAACTAATAATCAGGTAACTCTCTAAATAATGAAATGAGGGATTGTTTACTAGTTAATATTTTTAGATCAATGCCTTCTGGAAATTTAATGCAAAAAAAAGAGAAGCATAACATCTGATAGTTTTTTTTATTTGCACATGGCTTACTCTCACTTTTCAAATTCTCTTTAAGGTCGTGACAGAAATCTTAATCATTGATTATTATTAGCTTTAAAAGTTTAACGCTATGTATTTTTTACAAATGAGACGATTAAAATTGCAAATTGTCTATTTTAATTATTTGATTTAAATTTTTTACATGATTTAAGCTCAACTAATTAATGTTCAATTTTGAAAGAAAATAGAGAACGCTATTAAATTATCCTTATGTTTATTTTGCAGCTGTTATCCAGTATCAAAGACAGCGTGAGCTACTATCTTCCATATTAAAGCAGCAGCAACAACAACAACACCCTCTTCACAATTTACCTCAATCTTCTGTATTGCAACCTATGCCACAACGCCGTTGTCCGTCCGCCAAAGATATTCCCATTCAACAAACATTGGCTCTCCCAACTTTGGGAATCAGTCCTCGCCAATCGCCAATGCCTTCTGAAGCCATTGGTTCAGCCATTCCTAGTCAAGGACGTATACCATCCCCTCTTGGTAAGGATTTCTATCCTCTTGTTAGTTTTCTCAAGTGTAAAACTGTTTTTAATATTAAGTGTAGTTTAAATGTTTTTCTGAAAATAAAAATTCTTCTTAAGCTGAGTTTTAACAGTATACATGATTTTTATAAAAATCTGTACATAAGCATAATTTAAAATTGGCACTAAATGTTTAGCTTTCAAATTTTAAGGGAAGGCTAATAATTGATCAAATTTATTGTGTCATAATAATTGTACAAAATTTAACCTTAGTTTCCAAAAGAAATACTCCTCATAATAATTAGCTGATATATACATATAATATATGCAAAAAGAATTGCCAGTACTCCGAAAGTGTGCTTATAAAGCTTGTTCCTCTTTTTTTTATCACAAATACTATGCTATGTGTCCCATTAGTAATATTAAGTGCACATTGCATTTATTGGTAAATTTTATTCGTTAAACTATTACAATAACTTCCAGCATTTTTTGCTTTTTAAAAACAAAGCTACTCACTCTAATTATCAAAACTGTTAAATTTAACATGTTAATTATAGTTTATGAATATTTGTTTTTGAAATATATTTCTTTTTAAAGTGTTTGGTCAGCAGCCACCAGCTTTAAGTCATGCGCCAGCACCTATACACCCAGCTGCTTTAGCTCAAGCTATGGTTCAAAATGCAGCAAGTTCAAACACCTTGCAAGTTCAGGTACAAACTTTAGATTGCTATTCTATTTATAATGTAATATATTGATCAGGATAAAAAATATCATTTTTATTTAATTATTTGGCTTCATTGTATGATTTGTTCTTAATATTTTATATTTATCATGTTAAAATATAGTTGTCACGATAAAACTTTTAACTGAAATTTATGTTTAGTAATATTTACATTTAAAATTTTTACATTTATGTGAAAATTTACATAGCTTATTATAGAAAAAGTAACTTTAAAATAGATTAATATGAAGAAAAAAATTTTTAGAATCCTGTGGTTTTGCAAAGAGTTCCATCTCCACAAGAACTTGCTGTTCATACTCAATCTATATTACAAAATGCTCTAATTAAAAGGAAACTTGAAGAACAAAAGGAAAACTTTCGAAAGAGGCAAGAAGCACAAAGGTAAGTGTTAAGTCTTCTGTAAAATCAACTAAGTTTCTCTTTTACTGAGGTATAAGGCTGGTTTAAAAAATTTATTTATCAAAGTTTAATAATTTTTTAAACCACGTTGATGGAATAAAAATTTATCTTTGTCAATTTTTTTTCTTTTAAATTTGATGCAGGGTCATATCAAATCTTGTTGCCCATGTGCAAAAGGTTGAAATAGATTTTTTTTTCTTTTCAAAATTATGAAATGTGTATTTACCAATGTTAAAGAATTCAATGTTTAATAATATTAATGCTGTCATATTAAAATGAAATTTTAACTTTAGTGAGATTGCAATGTCTATTTGCATTTTCGACGTGTGCTAAAAATTCATAAATTAAAATAAGCGAAAGATAGTTAACAATGAAATTCAATTGTGAAGAAACCTCTGCAGATCAGTAACAAGTCTGTTACTATTTTTCAAAATGTTAGATTAATGAGTTTAGAGATGTAATAAAGAGTGTAGAAAATGTTTAAATATATCTAATGTATATTTTCCTTTTATTAAAATCCAGTTTGAATTTACTGTACAAGTCATTAAATGCAAACATTTTCTTGTTTTTTAGAGCAAGCTCTCCTGTTATGTCTGCAAAAAACAGCATGACTCCATCACCACTTAAAGTAAGTATTTTTTTTTTTTTATTTATAAAACATAGATACTGAAAAATCTAGTAGACTATTTTTCTCAGTCTTATTATTTATCAAGAATTCTTCTCGTTTTTATGTATCTTAGAAAATTTCTTTAAAAAAAGTTCCTATTTTTTAATTTTCTTTTGCTTATTGTTTATTTGGAAGTTGAATTTAATAATATTACTAAATATTGATGACATAAGTAATGTTAATTTGAAGAGGAATAAGTCTTACTTTATTTAGAGTAACTGGTTTGCATTTTTTTGTTGAACTTTCTTTTTTGACAAAAAATTAAATATTTAATTTTAGACATTGTTATTTTTAAAAAACAAATCGTGCTGCTGTCTTAACTTTTACTACTTTTTTAATACTTGCAACTTACTAAAGTGGATTAAATAACTTTTTTTATTTAAATTTGTAAATTCAGGAAATGAACATATTAAAGGTTTTTATTTTCTCTGTCAACTATACACTGAAACTACTATAGTAAATTTTATTTTGTAGCTATTATAAGAGTAATACACTTTTATTTATAATTTCACATTATTAGTTATAAAAATTTCATTAAATATACCCCCTATACATGAAATATGTTGCAAACATTATTTTATTTCATGAAATCTACTGCATTTTTCTTTTTTGTCGGCAGCCATTTATTAACATGGTAAATGTTTTATTTTGGAAAACATGATAAAAAATTGTTTAATAATATCATCTGTTAATTTAAAGAAATAAGCATCCATTTTTTATAGTTATATATGATCATTTTTAACATATTGAACACAAGTCTGATTGTTTCATTTTTATGTTAGAAAAAAATTTTAAAACAAATGTTCATTGAAATATTTTTTTTTTTATTATTATTAAATAGAGAGGAATCGCTTATTTACTTTATACTTTTTATAACTATTAGAAAATTAACATATAAACTGTATGTAGTGATCTTGATAAAAAATAAAAAAAAATTTATTTATTTATTCTAATTATCTTTTTGTCCCCACATTTTCAATATTTGTGTTTTGAATACAAATGTGAATTTTATAATAATCAATTTGAAGAATCAAAGATTTAGATTTTCACTATATCTTTCTATTTTAAATAATAATGACGCTAAAAATAGTTCTAACTTATTATATAGCCTTATCCGCAGGATTCCGTGTTCCAAACTTTATGGGAAGGCATTCATTTTTTTTAAAAACCAACAAAAATAGAGGAGTTATCTTTTAAATGACTTTTTTGTACAAAAATATTAACCAGGTTCATTGTGTTTTGCTTTCTAGAACCCCTACTCTGGAATAATTTGATTAAGTCTTGAGCTGGGTTAAAAAATTTAATCAGATATTGGTACTGATCATTTTTGAACTAATTGATACTGATTATTTTTTAATACATCAGTTCTATTAATAATTTTCTATGTATTAATCTCAAATCATTATGAGTTGTTCATTGCTTCATTAATAAAGTTATATTGAAAAATGTTGAGACTTTCTGCTCTAAGCAAAATAAATTTAGGAATTAAAAGTTATGTATTTTATTTTTTGGGGGGGTGAGGGGGATACAATTTACTTTTATTATATTTGAGTTGGGAGAATTATGCATTTTTCAGCTTGTGATTTTCACTTTCTTTAACTGTACACTATTCCATTTTTTTTTTCCCTGTAAAATAAGTTTTTATTTATCCCACTACGAGTATGTGTTTATAACATATCTTTGTGGCTGACTAGCAGGGTAAATAAACTCAAAAGACAAGTAACTAATCTTTGCTTGAAAAATATCGAAACATATTATAGATTAGTTGCTTAAAAATAAAGTGTTGTTCAAAGTCAGTCATTTTTTAATGCACTCCTAAACTTTTATTATTCAGTTTCTAATTACTAGATTTTATTCCTCTTATAAAGAAAATGCTACTATTAACAGTTGCTAAAATTTTTTGATTTTTAGTTTATCAATATAATTCTATGTTTAACTTTAAAAATAGGGTTTTTTTTCCCCCTTTTTTATATTACTTTTAAACTTTAAGTTTTTTCTCTTTCAGGCATTAAATTTTATTGATGTTGGCATTTTTTGTTTCTTTTTTTACTTCCAGTCTAAAGATTTAAAAAAATATATTGCTAATTTGATTTGAGGAATATATTTTATTTGGAAACTTATTTTTAAAATTTTGCTATTTATAATTTTGGTAGTAATTATTTAAATCAAATTTTTTTAATTGATTAAAATCAAATTTACAAGAAATATTTAATTTTATATAAGTATTTTTATTCAGCTACCTGAAGAATGATTTCGGCTTCTATATTTATTTCAACTAGAATATTGAAAAATACAATGACTACAAATATAATTGCCTTTAGATGACTTTTTTTTTTTTTAATGAAAAGGTTAAAATTTATTTTTTGGTTTATCTTTTGTTTGTTTGCTGATGATCAACAAAAGCTAAAGACACAACCTCGCCAATTGGTGTTCAAATATTAGTATTTATTTAAATCAATCAGCTTAGTGAAAAATGTTTTTCTTTTAGGTAATAATTAGAGCTAAAAATTGCAAATTTGTTTAATGCCAATTTTGGGATTATCTTGTTAATGTATTAATAAAATTAAAATTTATCTTTTTAATTTGTAATTTTGATTAAAAAGGAAATAATTAATTTTATTATATAAAGCTGCATTTAGAGAGTCTGAAATTTTAGATTTCATAAATAGAAATTCTAAATCATTTCTTTCTTTCAAATTAGGGTCTTAGTCCAACTATTGCATTCACTCCAACTTCAGTGATGCGAAAAATACAATCAGAGAAAGTGGAAAATAAAGAACTGAAAAATGGAAGTCAAAATGGTAATTATAATCACTTTTAATAATAATTACAGCTAGTCATTTTTCACTTTCTTACTCAGTCATTACTATTAGATTATTTTATTTTCTTAAATTAATTATTTTTAATTAGAGCCTTAGTGATGGTCCTTTGTCATCCTAAATTAATTTTGTTCCAACCCTCAGTGACATTGAATGTGCTACTCTATTGATGTTACAAACTAGCTTTTTTCTTTTGTTTATAATTTGTTTAATTTGAATACTTGACTGTTTGCGTAGTTGGTCTCCAAAGAGCTAAAATGCTGAATTTTGCCTTTTGTAACACCTTTGCTCTAAAGAAGCATTTTTTAAATCTAAAGTTAATCTTAATAAATCAAAATAGATATATAATTATTTTTAGTTTGTACTTTATTTACTTTTTTCATATTCAATGCTCCATCCGTAAAGCAAAAGCTGGTTGAATTGATTACTAAATTTTCTTTTATTTTGCTTTTTTAATAGTCATGTTGTGATGACGTTCAACTAATTTCTGTTTTATATAAATTTTTAAAACATTATTTTTTGAAAAATTTCTATATAAAAGTATTGATTGGCTACTAATAATTCTTTTATACTCATTTTAGGTATTGAGTCCAAAATATCTGATAACATTCAGAATTTTCCAAAATCAAATTCTGTTACAATGCCGAATTCTGGACATCAAACTAGTTTTGAAAGTAATTTGGCCACTCTGAATAACAGTCACCTCACATCTTCTTACACCAGTGCCAGTTTAAACCAAGGTCCTAGAGCTGTTCATGGGCAAGGTAATAATCAGCCACGCTCTATTCATGGTGCATTGAACTCTGTTAATCCATTAGTCATTCCCAATCAAGGCAGGCCTATTGTTAAAGTTGGTATGACTCAACCTCTTAACCCGACTAATGATCTTGCAAGAAGTGCAATGGCACCTAATAAACCTCCAGTCACACATAACAAGTCATTTTTATCAAGTAACAATCAGGGTAAGTTGTTGATTAAGTCTTTTAAATTTTTATTTCACTTTTTCTGTGTGTCTATTAAGCGTAATTAGCCTGTTTTTCAACTTTTCTTTTACAGTTAGTCAATATTTTTGCAATGTTCAATATAGGAAGGAAGTAATATTGTTGAGGAAAATTTATTTATCTCTCTCTAGATCTTTATTTTATGAGCTCATGCTGGAGTAATAAGTAAAGAGAGTAATTGTTGCCAGTTATAAATTTTAGCATTTATGTTACGGACCGGGAGTGTTGATGAAGCTTCAAAGCAGTCTAGGGTTGCGTTTTAAAGTTTTTATTATGACAAAAACACTTAAATGACAATAGAAATTAATTAGAGCTGGAACATCTTAATGAGCTCGCTCACCGTAGCCGTTCAGTGAGTGAATGTAGAGGGAGTCTACTCAACTACAGGTGGCGCTGCATGGCGTATGCAACACTCTGTCATCCTGACTTAGTCGGTCTCCGACTAATTGCTTTAAAGGTAAATATTAAACATCACAATAAAAAGAAAATATTGACGACAGAAATATTTTGACAATTGAATTGATATATAAAACAGTAAACTAATGAAAATTTAAATCTAAACTAATTCTAAATATATTCAATTTTAATATAATATATAGTTGATGAAGTAAAAATACACTTTTCAAAATTATTAAGCAAATGAATTTCTCTTCAACCTATAAAACTAGCAGAAAATAAGTAATAAAAAGATATTTTCAAATATATAAATCTACAAAAAATTTTTATCTCACTTCTGAAAATGACCACAATATGATCAATATGAATATTTTGATGATTAAAATAGAAATTTGTTATTAATATTCAGTTAAATATGTTCAATTAATATTTGATTTATGTAATAAAATTCAAAATGAAAATAATAAATTTTTAAAAAAATTTGAGAGTCTGTGTAAAAGTTCTTGCACTANGAGCAGGTTTGGCTGAGCCCCCATGTTACGGACGGGGAGTGTTGATGAAGCTTCAAAGCAGTCTAGGGTTGCGTTTTAAAGCTTTTATTATGACAAAAACACTTAAATGACAATAGAAATTAATTAGAGCTGGAACATCTTAATGAGCTCGCTCACCGTAGCCGTTCAGTGAGTGAATGTAGAGGGAGTCTGCTCAACTACAGGTGGCGCTGCATGGCGTATGCAACATTTATATTGATATTTTGTAAAGGCAATAGAAAGCTTATACTTCAAGACTGATAAAACAGTTTTCAGTTTGAACCATTATGACTGATATGCTTGCCAAAAATTTAGTTTTAAACAATACTTTTTTCTTTTTTTTAAAGTATTGTTTGAAAATTAATTTTTTCTCTGACACTATCCAGGAATAAACATAATGTAAGCAGCTTTTTGTAATTAAGTAAAAAGAAAAAGCTCATGTTGAAATTTTTGTGATAAACAATCAAAAGTTTCAGAATTTATTTTAAAAAATGTGTAACTTCTTTTTTTTATTTTATCTACTTTGTTATTAACAATGAAATAGATTTCAAAAGAAATTGTATTTTCTCTAGATGTGCGCTATACAAATATCTACTAAAAAAATATACCTTCATTTATTTTATTATATATATATATATTATGGTAAAAATATTTTCATTGTTTAAAAACTTATAAGAATAAAGTTAATATATCCTTAGTTAATTTTCCACATATAATGAACAAATACTTGCTGCAACACATTTTAAGATAAATGTTATATAATATAATTATGCTTGGAAAATTGGCTGTAGCTATTTTAACTAGATTCCCTTAAATTACTGTATATTTTTTATAAGTATTTTGTGCAGAACCATAGAAAAGTTTTTTTATTGAATAAAAATTTATTTTAATTATTACTGAAAGACTAAAAAAATAACTAATTCACAAATATATTTTTTTTAAAAAAAGAGAAATTGTAAGGACAAAATTGTGTTGCTTTATATTTCATACTACCTGCTAAATTTACACTCATATATATATAATTTTTTTTTTTTAATAATAATTATCTGAATTATCTTTGAACAAATTTTTTGTGCATTTTAAGATAGTCCTTTAACTATTGTATCTGTATTAAAATTAAGAAATATGTTTATATTATTAAATTTAAGTTATAACTAGGAATTTGTAGGATTTTCATATTATTGTGATTTTTGCTAAAAAAATAAATATTAAATTGGTGGTTTCTTTTTTTTTTAAAAAAATAGTTGCAATATTGTTTTGTATACTATATTTTTCTTTCTTAGTGCTTTTTGATAAAAATCTTTTACTCTCATATTAATCCCTATTTGTAGCTTATATTTTTTCTATTTATGATTAATTTATTTTCTGTATGTAGCTTGCATTGTGATTTTATAAATTGAGCATTGGGAGAAAAGTACCCTTATTATTTTTGTTTATTTACTTTATTGTGTTTTAAACAGTAGTAGATAATGAAAGTTCTTTATCAAATTAACTTTTAGTGACAAATTAAATTTCTATTTTATAAATGCAATTATTCAATTTGATTTTACTAGATATATGATTATAATACTTTTTATTCTAAAAACACCATTATTCTATTTTAGGAATTTCAAGAAAATTAAGAGTAATAGATAAATTTAACTTGTGGCCCTAGAACAGTCTTTTGCCGAAATAAAATTAAAAAAATAGAAATAAAATTTTGAAATATGTGTAGCAGTTATGTATCAAATAAATGTATTTGCTAATAATGAATGGGCTTAAATCAAAACTCTTATTAGATTTTTTTTTTTTTTAATAAAATATGTATGTTTTAAATATTTAGGTCTTGGAATTCATGACATGGATCCAAGCATGGATGCATTAAATAAATTTACCTGGCATCAACAGATGGCAAGGCAACAAAATGCTTCTGCAATGCCTCCTTTACAAATGGCTGCAACTTATGCTGCACTTAATCAAAGGCCACCACCCTTAAACCCACACCATACTGGTTTATTGAGACCTGTAAGTATGGCTTCAACTGCCAATGTACCATCATCTAATGTGAACTTTCCCCTTCTGAGAAACTCAGTACAAAATCCAATCAGAGGTTAGATATATTTTCTTTCATTCAAATAAATTATTTTTTTTTTGCATAATTTATTATTATTATCTTTTTATGTATTTATATGTATCAATAGAAGGTGCTTGTTGAATGGTGAGAGGTTTAGAATGAACTACACAACACATGGTTGTACTGTGTGAAATGTTTAAAAAAAAAAGGGTCTACGCATGTTTAGTAACATATGCAGCATCAAGAAAATCATTGACATTAATTTTTCTGCATCCTGTCTGTGTTGCAGAACATCTGATTATAAAAGAAAGAGTTTGTCTGTGTGTGTATAAACTTCAAAACCTTTTGTGCCAACATTCTGAATTTCGGACAGTGGATGAAAGGAAGGAATTAAGCTCTTTATCCTAAAAATAGTTTAAACATTTTAACTAGATCGCTTAGGAGAGACGTTATTTTAAAGGATTTTTTTTTTCATTTGGTTATTTTTTCTATGCCAACTGGTCTTTGATATAAATAATACTACCAACTGTTCTGTTTTATCAGAAATTTAAAAGGTAATGCCATTAATATCTGCTTGCATATAGCTCTCATTAATCTATAAACTTTGTTACACCTTTAATATTTTGTTACACCTTCTTTAATATTTTTTATTTATCTTTAATATTTTATTCATTATGTCTGACAAACTGAAATATAGGTAGACTACATCACCAAATTAGTATTTCCAAAGTTATCTAAAGCCACATTTATCCTGTTATGTGTTTAAAAAATCAACTGTTTGTAAAATAAATAAAAAAAGGTTGTGCTGGCAAAAATTTTGGGAAACTGCTAATTCATTTAAGACAAATGTAAGAAATCACTGTATTTTTATTAAGGCCAATGCTGTTTAAATTATATGGTAATAAATGTTAATTGAAAAAAATATATATATATACTATGTTTACAAAAACAAAGAAGACTTCCATTTGGATAGATGACATTTTATTTTATAACCAGCTTGGACAGTCTGCACAATTCTGAGTTTACGACATTTAATCTTAGATTCTGTAGTCCTGTAATTTTAAACCCTACCCAAAAGACAAGGGAACTCCTTTATCGAAAATTGAGACAAACTAGCCTTAGCTGGAACTAACCTCCATTTGTTTAACATGGCGAGGAAAATCTTAGCTTGACGGCCAACTTGATCCATCCACCACTATGGATATTTTACATCAGCACTGTGTTCGGTGCGAGCGTGGAGCAGAATCAACCAACCATCACTGAAATTCGAAATTGGGCACCTCGTAGGGAGGCTAACCCTTAACCTCCACAGCTCAGGTTGATGACACTGAAAAAGTTTAAAAAAACAATAAAAGTAACTAATTTGAGAAAACAGGTATCTTTCTGATTCTATTGAAAGAAACTCATTGAGATAACCCTAGCTTGCTCTGGCCTGTAGTGTCTACTGAATATATGAACTAAAAGCAAAATTTATTTGAATAGATATTAAGGGAAGTGTAAGAGTAACCTTACTATTATTGTTGCCAGCAATGCATAATTATTTTTTTAATAAGTACAAATTAAAACCAAAAAATGAGCTTTGTACTAAAAAGCAAAATTGGTGGAGAAATGGTATTAATTTGCTTAGGAGAAATGTAAGAAATTGCCGTACTGTATTAATTTCGGTCATTGATACTGATATTGTATGATAATCAGTCCAGTTTTATTAATAATCAAAATATTGGTAGATACAAAGAATTATATAAATATATTTAATACCTTTTGTTACTTAACCAATTGTGTGCTGTTTCAATATAGACAATGTGGAAAGAGGTGTTTACAACCCCTCTAAAAGGATAAGTACAAGCTAAAATTGCTTGATTGTGGCAGTTTTTTTCCATCATGAGATGGAGTCTAGTAACAGCATGATGCTAAATACAGTTAACCTTTGTGTTTTGCTTAATCTAGCAACCTAAATCCCACCCCACCTCCCCAAAAATGGCAATAAAATATAATAAAAAAATAAGAAATTGGAATTATTTTAGCTTTATTAATTGTGTTTATGCTGTACTCTGTAGTGTTCAGCACAGTGTTATTTACCTTGTTTTGCTCTGTGCGAAGAATGAGTATTCAGCTAGTATTATTATATTTTATTAAAATCAATAAAATATTAAATTATAGGCTTTATATTAATTACAGTTTTGTTTTCTAGCACAAACAAATACACTGAATCAATTAAACCAACTGGGACAGCTTGCAGCTCTTCAACTCCAGCGAGGTGCCATTGACAATAGGCAGTATCAGGCATTGGCCCAAAGTCAACGATTTCATCCTGCTGCTTTGCAACAGATGCTTTTGAACTCTCAAAATCAGGTCACTGCTGCTCAGGCTCATGTTGCAGGATTTCCTGGAAATAGGGGTATGTGAAATTCTGAAAAATAAACTTTTGGAGAAATTGTGCAAGTTATGTATGCAATCAAAGTGCTTGAATGAAATCATAATGAACTCTCAGGAAAGACATTGTTACTTTAGCAATTAAGCTGGTACAATGGGAATAAAAATTAATTTATATTTACTTATATCTATAAAATGCTGCTCTTATTTTGACAAAGCTAAGCTATACTTTAAAAAGAATTAAGGAACTGACAAAGGAAAAAAATTCATAATAATGGCCGAATCATCATTCCAAACAATGTTGCTATTCCAAACTTGTAGGTCTAGCAACTTAACTGCAAAGTCTTAAATGAGAAAAAATGTGAATACAACAGCCCGAAAAATCAAATATTTCACACCAAAAAAAAAAAATAATTTAGCAAGAGAAGGCGATTTATTAGTTGTAAACATCTGGGGGAAAAATCTAAGATTAAGAATGCATTCTTTTAAATCGTGTAAGGCAATATTTTCTTTCGTTAAAGTAATTTGTTTCACTAACTTTTGAGCCAATATAGAAGTCTTGTTACTCTTTATTCAAAATATCAAATTGGCAGTAGCATCAAAATGACTTTGCAAACGGATACTTTAAACTTATTTTTTGTAACCAAATGACAATTTTCAACAGGAATATTTGGTTTGGGAAGTGAAAAAATACTTTACACTAATTTCTGAAGTGATTTTTCTCAAAAATGAAAAAAGAAGTTAACTAAATCTCCATTACTTTCATGAATACTGATCTTTTTCTTCTTAGGGTTCAAAATTAATAGGATAAGGAGAATGAATCATAACATTAAGGGCTCCAGAACCGCTATATTAATCTTCTGTTCAACATTGGTGATGATATAAAAATTTCTTTTTAAGCAATCAAGATATTATACTAAGAAAGATTTTCTTGAACGCAAATTACGTTTATAGTTATGGAATGATTAAAAGTTAAACCCATATAGTTTTTTTTAAAAAAAAAAATTAATATACTGTCATTTTGTTGCTATATTTTTAAAATATAGTATGTTTAACACGAGCTACACTAATAAATGCTACTGAAATTGTGAACTCTACTATCAGCTGAAGTCACAACTTCCTAGAAAAGTTTTATGTTAATTATTCTACAACCTCACCGTCAATCTAAATTTAATTTTTTTAAAATTTATTTTAACAAAATCTAATAAATATGTTTTTATTTATATAGATGCACAATAAATTTCTTTGAACTATACCTTGTAAAATATTTGTCCGATAGAAAATGGGATATTAATATTGTTATGCGTGAATGCTATAACATGTGGGCAGTGCCCGGAACCGGCAAAATTTTAGAGAGACTGGCATATAATAATTCTTTCTTTCTTGATTTTTTTTTTTCTTTTAAAAACTAACAGGACTTTCATGGATCAGAGATAACAGAAAAAACCTGGAATTGTCAGGGAATTTTATATTTTGATTCTAAAAAGCAAGGAATAATCAGAAATTTGCATTTTTTTTTTTTTTTTCTCCATACCTGGAAAAAAGCCTTAGAATTGTCAGTGCCAGTAATCAGTTATTGAGATTCGATTTAAATGATTCTAACATCTATTACAAATATTTGTTGTAAAAATGCTGCATTTTAGTGAAACTTTTCTGGTGAAAAAATGCATGGTATAAATAAAATATGGTCCGGATTTACATTGACATTTTCCTGAAATACCTGGAAAAGTCGGTGAATTTTTTTTTTCTAAAATTAAGTGGTAACCATGTAATGTAAATAATTGTAAGTAATTATTGAAACTGTGTAGAAGATTAAGTTTTTAAAGATGTAAATTGAATAATGATTATTGAAACAGATGTATATAGATACTGTTTTAATAATTTAAAAACATAGTAATACATACCCTCCAACTGCTACAGAATTTCCGTAGTTTCAGAAATCTTCTTTTCAGACGGTAGCAAAATTAATGTCTTAATATTTAAAAAAAATTTATTTTAGCTTAACTTGTCCACTATTACTTATAAAAGTGCAGGCCATATGGCTAGATTCTTAAGTTCTGATAAAAGTTTTATGAGAGATCCATTTGCTTTAAAAATTTCTACTTTGGTCCGCTACCACTAGAAAGAATTATTTTTAAAATCCCCATAAGTTGGAAGGTATGGTAATATATTCTTTCTCGGATCTAAATTTGACTTTATATTTTTGCTCATCTCATTAGTACAATTTTAAATTAAAAGTTTATCATTTTTATTGGGGAAAAAATCTAAATTCATGTTCTTTTCTTCTTCCTTACTTTTATTTTACTTACATTTCTACATTATATTTTCTTTACAGATTCAAAGCATCAACACCTTTTACCTGGCCAAGCATCTGCAAATCGTTCATCACCGGTTAATCTTGCCAAATGGTTCGGAAATGATGTGCTGAAACAAAAAATGCCTGATATGCCTCCTGTTTCTCACCAGAAAGCACTCTTAGTTGAAGAAGTAGAAAGGCAGCAATAGTCTACAGTTGTTCACAATTGATTATTGTTTGTGTTTTGTTAGCATGTTTGGATAATGAACCTTGGCCTATTGAGAGTTACTATATTTTAAGGTTAGGTATATGTTGGTGTTGTCCTTTTTTTCTGTTGAGTCTCATCTTCAGAGTAAAAAAATTTTTTTTTTCTTACTCTGAAAAAGTTTTTTTCTGTTAAGTAAAAAGAAAAAATTTATATCTATAACATTAGAAGGAGTTATGAATTTATTTGTTTTTGTGTCCTCTTACATCTTTACAAACCAGAAAAACTGTGATATTAAAAAAGAAAAGAAACTTATGATTCTCTGTGTATGTATGTGTGTGCGTCGTAAAAATGTGAACTGATTGTCCATTGAGCAGTAGATGCTGTGTTTTAGAAACTTTTTTTTTCTTTTCTGTTTATTCTTTTCAAAACCTTTTTAATTGTCTTTAAAAAAAATTAATTAAAAAAAAATAATAAAGCTATGTGGCAGATTAGGTGCTCAGAATGTATATTTGTCATCAGTTCTTACTGAAGGAAACAGCTATATTTTTGAAAAGGAAATAAAAGCCAGGAAGGCTTTGTCTATTTTTCTTTGTTGAAACCAACAATCTTCACTCTGTGTCTATGTTTAACTTTTGTTACAGTAAAGCGTACATCTGTCTTGTGTGAAAGCCGATAAAAAGTTTTTCTTTTTTTTTTGTTTTGCAAGGAATTTTTTGAAGGCTAAATATATTGTACATTGAATTTATCTTCAAGTTGTAAAAATATATATATATTATATCTATGTGTGTGTGAATCTTGGAAAAGCGTGAATGCATGAAGTGTGAGTGTGTTTGTGTGTTAAATAAACCTACAGTTTCATTTAGAACATTCCTAACATCAATGAAGATGTCCTGTAAAATAAGATTGTTCTCTGTCAGGAGTTTTTGGACAGATGAGCCTTAAATATAGTTTAAGGCAAACTAGCTATTTCATACTTGCTACGTTGTTAAAATTGTGATTTGTCGTTCTTTTTGAACTTCAGATGTGTCTAATACTTAATTTGCAGTGTTGTAGCTGTATTACACTTATTTTATTTTGTTTCGTTTGGGCAGTAATTCTGCCTTTTGCTTTTGCCACTTGGTATACTTGCAGCCCCCTTTTCATTCATTTTTGTTTTCCTTTCTTTTTCACTTTCATCCTGTGTCAGTTTCTTACTAGCATAATTAATTTTGTTCATAAGTAGCTATCTTCTATTAATGTACATAAACATTGAAAATATTAAATTATTAATGAAGATATTAAAAATATACATCTAACTATGCAATACTGAAAATATTTATTTTTATTTAAAGCATTAAAAGTAAAGGGAAAATATCAATTTGAACTTAAATGCATTGTTACTGCATCAAAATGAATTCTAATACTATCTATTACTCTATTAGAGCTGTGCTAATTTGCTCAATTTTGAACTATGTTATGCTCTTATTGACTTAACTTCTCAAAAAGTTTCTTTGCAGTTCATTGTATCATTTCTATTTTTGTGTAAAAACCATGAACTTTTGATCATTTATTTCATATTTTTATTATTGAAGAAAGAAAATAAAATTTCCTCACAAATAAAAATTCATTGCTGAAATTGACTGTTTTTTTTTTTTACTGAAATAATGTGTGAAGCTGTTTTACTAATATTTGCTGAATTTCATTCACTGAAACTTTATCTGTCTGCGTACATCACCCTCTCCAAATTTAAAAACTTTGGTTCGCTTAATGCAAAGAAACAAACTTTTTTTTTTCAAAGTTAATTTTTTTAAACTAAATCCTTAACTTTGACTTCATAGGCTTAAATAATAAATGATCAGAAATGCCTAAGAATTGTCAGGGAATTTACAATTTGTAGCCAAAACCTGACAAATTCTTGTAACTAGTTTGGAAAACAAGCAATTTTAAAATTGAAGCTGACAATAAATAGTAAATGATGTTCAAAATAAATTTAACATCTACTTCTTTTATTCTCTTGTAAAATAGTTACCTGTAAATTAGAGTATTTTGTGAAGTATATATTCTAATTTCTGGTTCTGAATTTTTCTTAAATGTAACCATCTTTCAACTTATTTTTTAAAAATTAAGTGTATAATACCAAATTTGTCTGCCCGCAACAAGGAAGATTAATAATTGGTATGACTCAGAAGTTTTTTCTTCATTTCATTTAAGATTTTAAATTGTTGAATTTTTTGTGCAAAATATTGCTTTTTTTATAATTTATGTTCTTGACATATTAAAACTTAGCGTAATATTTTTTTTTTTTCCTTCAAAATTTTACCTTTGACATATTTTCTAACAAAATGAAAGTTTAGTTGCTTTTTGAACAAAATATATTTTTAATGAAATAGTTTTTATTGAAAAATGTATTCTGGAATTTTATTGAAATTTTCTGTTCTGGGGAGTTTTATTACTAAATTTGAATGGGAACCATGTAATTATCATTTAAGCAAAAACTTCAAAACATTTGAAGCTAGTTTGGAATAAATATTAAAAATTATTTTATTTAAAAATAGTCTAAGAAGTTTTGAATTGTAAGGTAGAGAAATGTTTAAGGAATGTAATTTTATGTGACAAAACATAAAATTTGAACAAAATCTGTCTAAGAAATCAAATTGTAAATAGATTTTTTTTTTTTTTTTTTTAGACAGAGTGTCNGAGTTTTTTTTTTTTTTTTTTTTTTTTTAAATTTGATTTCTCTGGAACCATTTGACCAATTGCGATCAAATTTTATTTGAGTCATTTAAAATTACATTCTTGAAACTAATGTAATAATTTTTAACCCTTCATGGATGAGTAATTTTTTCCACTATTTCGGGAAAAAATTCATTTTTGTGTGTGTTTCTACCTATGTAAATAGGATTTAAAATAGCAGTCACACAAATAAAAAATTTACATCGCGATACATATTGACATGATTTAAAACTACACATCGCTATTCATATTCAAGTGATTTAAATTCGCACATCGAGCTTCATGTTCACACCATATAAAAACCATGCAACATGATTTGGAAATTTTTATTAAAACTTTGATAATATTCTAAGTATAATGCTTCCTACATACTTTGTCCTTGCTCAAATTTCAGGTTTTTTTTTAATAATTAAAATGTGTCTTGCATAAAATATTCTTGGTTATCTATTTTCAGTTTCTTTTATTTTTTACCAAACTCATCCCTAATACCTTGGAATTCAATTCACATAAAAAATTCGCGACTCATTACGAATTATACAAGAAGTATAATTACATTAAAGTGTCCAAATTTCTAAGTCTGATAGTTTTTGCGCAAGAAGAAACGTGAAGCAAAAAAAAAAATTTCGAAAAAACACTTAAAATTGTAATAACTTTTGATTTGGATTAATAAATTGGAATTTCAATAAAAGATTGTATTAAGTACATAAACAAATAGGATTCCTACTGCATATCAAATTTCAATTCAACAGTCAGTTGCATTCCTTCGAATGCTGAGTAGCTTGCCTGATGTTTTTCGCTAAAAGTTTGAACAATTAATAATTTTAAATCTAATTAACCAATCTTAAATTTTTATATTCCATCAAACTCTTTGTACATTTTTCTATACACCTTCGTAATTTCACGTTAAGTCGCAGCTTCAAAGCAGCAAAACAAAATGTAACGTTGTTGTTGTTCATTTACGTCGCACTAGAGCTGCACAATGGGCTATTGGCGACGGTCTGGGATACATCCCTGAGGATGAACCGAAGACATGCCATCACAATTTTGATCCTCTGCGGAGGGGATGCCCCCCCCCCGCTTCGGTAGCCCGACGACCTGCACGCGAAGTCGAGCACTTTACGGTAGAACAGTTTAACGAGGACCAATACCGCACACCCTCGGTCCATACGCAGGCTGATCCAAGTGGTCACCCACCCGCACACTGACCGCAGCCAGTGATGCTTGACTTCGGTGATCTGCTGGGAACCGTGTCTTAACGATCAGTCCACTGCGGGACAAATGTAACATTAAAAGCTGAACACCTAAAGCAGTGGTGACGGCTCTTACTACGATTTTTTAATGGGTGGGTGATAGTATAAAGCTAAGGATGGTAGCACTAGTGGTAAAATTGCTCTTTCAAGACTTCCGGGTTACTGCTTCCGATATATTTTTACGCCGCAGATTGAAAAAACGCGCCATCATATTATTGCATCATATCTTTTGCAGTATTTCACCTGTACCGAGTTCTTTCTTTCAGCATTATCATATTAATATTATACCCAAGTAGCACAATTCACCAAAACGATATCGTAAAAACGTAGCTTTGAACATTGTACAATATCGTAGCGAAATATTATAAAAATGGACCCCTTTTATGTCGTATATTCAATATTGCAAACCAATATTGTACAGTATTGTAGAAACGTTGGGGAACGTCGATCGACATCTCTCTGCATTTACAAACGTTGTACTATGTCAACTGACATCGTCAACACGATATTCAAAAAACGAATGCTGTGGAATGCAGACAATCGCCAAAATTACGTTATTTGAGAAAATAAAAATTAGTTTTTGAAATATTCATGCCTGTTTGTACCCTGGAAAAACCGAACAAAACCGTTCTAGCTTGTTTAAAATTAAATTATTTGTTATTACCAAAGCTTGTAGAATTTTTTGATTATTAATATTTAATAAGTTTGGGTAGGCAGGTATATTTTACTATTATTCTAGAAAATAAGCTAGAAAGTAAATAGTTTTGTTAAGATATTTCTTCGCTTTTTCAGGGTACAAGCAGCCATTTATACTGTGNAAAAGATTTAACGAGACGAGGTTTTTTGTTGACTTTGTCTTCTCTTTTTATTTCTTTCCACGTTCTTATTTTTTATGTCAAACATAGTTTTTTAGAACTATTTGATTTAGTCAGCGTATCTTGAGTTTGCATAACATAAAGTTTTTCAAAGCCTTGTATTTAGAGCAGCGCATCCGCCTCTTGTGCCGTGAAACTGTGAAATGATCAAACTTTCACACACTGGAAATGACAAACAGTGAGAGAGATACTTGAAATGTGACATTAACAAATAAACTTAACTCAGAAAACTTACTAAAAACGCAACTAAGACTTAACGGGGGAAAAAACTGAACTCCGTTTAATACTGAATAAAACCGAAGTCAAATAGGATTTTTATGCAAAAAAAAAAAGACACATTAACGTAACGAAAATGCAACAAAAAATTTAAAAACAAATAAATAAATAAAATAATGTTTTGTAGAATTACTAATTATCAGCAGAATTGATAACCAAACATAAGGTCTTTCTGTTTCTTTAATTAAAAATAATTTCAAAATAAAAAAAAACATGACCTACGAATAAACTTTCAAATAAAAAATAAATAAATGAATAAAAAGCTAAACGGTCAACCATAATACCTTTACCATGAATCATGATATGCTGCAAATTTACTGAAACCTTTCTAAGGTGTTAAATTAAACCAAGTTTGAGTTCAAGCTCAACAATATTATTAAATCAACTCACTTTAGATCACGATTCGATCACGAACGATAAATTTACGACAATAGAGAGATTTTGCATAACCTTTGCCTTGCTTTAACCATGACACTAACCATATTTTCTGACCCTTTGCGATGCTTCAATTTGTAGAGAAGCTTCTGCTCACGCAGCGTGAAACTCGAGCAACAGTAACCCGTAATGCTGTGCAAAATCTCTCCAATGCAAATCTCTCGAACCGCGATGGGTCAGGGGATAGAGCTTTCGCCTTCCAATGAGGCGAACCGGGTTTGAATCCCAGTCGATACGAATTCCGCATCCGGCTTGCACCTATCACAGTGCTTACGAGAAATATCCTCAGTGGTAGATGGCTCATGGGTTAGAGTCCCCTTGCTGTCAGGCTAACCATGAGAGGTTCTCGTGGTCTTCCTTTCTATGTAACGCAAATGCGGGTTAGTTCCATCAAAAAGTCCTCCTCGAAGGCAAATTTCTCCTAATATTCGATCCAGGAGTTCCCTTGTCTTTTGGATTGGGTTCAAAATTACAAGGCTACGGAGTTGAACATTAGAAGTAAACCCATAAAATTGGGTCCACTGTTCAACGACGGTTATAAAATATAAAATAAAATGCAAATCTCCCGATGCGAAATCTGGTTACAAAAGGAGTTTGTCTAATCGCGTAACCAAAAGTGCAACAATCGGATATTTCTCTACCCGTAAATTAGACCGAAAGTGTTACGAACCAAATATGTCCGCTTACAGTCTATACAGAAGTATGGGTGAAACGTTAGTATTTTCTTGTGAAGAGGGAACACTTTTAGTTCATTTTTTAAAAGAGGGAGCATTTCTTGATTTGTTATGATTGCATCAAATGGAAATGATGTTTGACGCGTTTCGCATCTAACAGTGTATGATAATTCTATGTACTAAATATCTACTATGTACTAAATAACTATGTACTAAATAACTATTATTCTGTGTACTAAATAAATAATTCAAGTGATTAACTCTTGTTGTTTTTTTTCCTTTTAAGTCTCCAGAAGGAAAAATCATTGAAACTGATTTTCCAATAGTCGGTGTTGGCTGTAATTCTTTTTTGCTAAACGATGTCCCAAGGGCAAAAGAAATTTTGAGCGAAAT